TAAAATAAATTATTTTACCTTTGATTTATTGAGAAATTGAGAAATAGTACACTATAAGTACGTGAGTTGCAAGTAAAATCCAATTGTTCCTAGAGCCACAGAACTAAGTGTATTTTTGGGCTTTTTGTTGCTGTTACCGAGCACTGCAGAGAAGTTTCTCAAAAAAGCAAAGGTTTGTTCTAGCTCACTTTTTAGAAGTGTGAGTCCACACTGATCATGTCCATTGCTGTAGAACAGCAGCAGGGAAGAGACATCATGGTGGAAGAGCACAGCAGGGCACAGCTGCTCATTTCAGGACAGCCAGGAAACAGGTGAAGGAAGGGAGCTGCAAAGCAAGGAGCAGAAACCAGGCACAGTTCTCAAGCTCACGATCCCATGAGGGATGCCTTCAATCAGGAGCCACCTCCTGTTTCTGTCACCTTCCAATCATGGCAGCAAATTCTGATCTCATTGCCAGATCAATCCACTTGGTGACGTTAGTGCTGTCCTAATCCAGTCATTTCCAAAACCACCACCTCTGACTAGCTGAGCTTTATGGGGAAGATCTTAGATCTAATCCAAACTAGACTTTTCCAGAGTTTAGAAAATGCTCTCTCCCTTTCATATGCCTGTTAGACACTACAAGCATTTGAGCCTTCCCTGGGAATGCATGTCCTTTAAAACAAGTATTCTTTGCTTACCTTATTTTCATATTCTCCATACAAAGGGATTATGAGGGAATATACCTGAATGTTTCAAATTTTCAAAGAAAGAAAGAGAAACTGCAGTGTGCGCATATATATTTAAAAAGTAGATTCAGAACTCATCATTTTTCAGCTGACACAGGTACAAAAGACAATAAAAGCCTAGGATAAGAATGCAATAATAGAATTTATCAAATATGCTCCATGGATGTGTTATTTGTATGCTATCTGAATCCTCCTTGGCATTGCTTTCAAACAGACCATTCATTTACCCTTTCCCCAGGTGAGTCAACAGAAAATTCCTTGGGACAGAGCTCTCTATGGACAGTCTCCTTACACACAATTACTCACCTCCTGATTTAAGGTCAGGATTCTCTTTGTGGCTACATTTGTGTAAAATAAGCTGATCCAGTTTCCCAAAAACCTAGATAGTAATTTCAAATATAATACAATTACACAGAAATGACTAATAATAATGGGTCAGATGTAGTTTAAGTAAATGGTTCAGGAAAATCTATATGAGAAGACTACAAATACCTTATTTAATTAATATTTTTGATAGCTCACATATATTTAATTATTTCCATTCAAAACAATAAACAGGCAGGAATAAATTTGAAAAAGTGAAAAGTGGTATTTCCAGTGAAAAGAAGTCAAGTGATGTTTAAAGCAAAGCTTCAAATCTTTTGTGTTTATATAACAAGATGAAATGATGTTTTCTTTGTTACTTTCACTTCACATTAGTCATTTATTTAAGTAGGATTAAGATTTTTAAAGTTAGGGCTGGGGATTTAGCTCAGTGGTTCTGCCACCTGCCTCACACCACAAGGTCCTGAGTTCAATCCCTGGTACCAAAAAAAGAAAAGATTTTTAAATTTTCATATTTTATTCTTAGCTACATTATTATTATTTTTTTTGGTACCAGGGATTGAACTCGGGTCCTTGTGCTTACAAGGCATGTGGTGGTAAGCTACATTATTTTGACCAATGCACAGCTATGACAGAAGAGTAACCAATTATATCAATATCTTCATAACCAACCATGTATCAATATATAATTTAAAACTTATTTTAATAATTTCATATAGTTTATTTCCCAGGAAGATATTGAAATATTACTCAAAAAGTGTAGACTGGAGTGTAGAAGATGAGGAAATAAAAAAAAAAGAAAAAAGCAAATAGTTGAGAATAAAGGACTCAGACAAAAGAAAAGAACAAATAAAATGGAGAAAAGGGATTGTACTTTGGTGATGGTGACCAGAATGATGGGAGAAAAGAAAGGAGGTTGTACATATTATTTATAAAGAGGGAAAATGGAAGGAGAAAATATAATTGGATATTGAGATTGGAACCAATGGATATGGTGAGAGAAATCTTATGTTTGTATCTTCCATACACAATTATTTTTGAGAGTTAACCTGGTATGTTAATGAAGCATACTATAAAACTAAAGCAATAATGAATTCTTATTCTCAATTTTACATATGCAAACACATCAGCTATATATTCTAAGAAAGGAAGAAAGGTAAGACAAAAAGGAAAGAGATAAATAA